AGCGGCCTTCTCACTAGTCTATCAAGGCTAAATTATGGACGGCTATCGCAGATATCCCTCGTGTAGCTTTGCACGAAATTCAAAACAAACCAAAATCAAACCCTTCGAGTTTGACCACATCTAGTTATTTTTGTCACAAACCTATATAAAGATGTGATAATCACATAAACCTTCGTGGGCTCACAGTGTTCGACTTCATCATTCGCAAGGTTTATGTTTGCTTAGAGGAACCGATGTTATTGGATTTACCTTTGTCTCTTAGACATGTCAGTTATCTTTGTGTTAGACTAAATTGAACACTAGCACCATCTATCCATATAATCTGGTATCATTGAAACTATTAACTCTGCTTAAACTCGTAACTAGCTCAAAGTAGCAATAATTCTGATGGCTTATAACGCTAAAAACTGGGTTTCAATACCCGTAATAAGCACAGCCTAGGTAGTCCATTGTATAGCTTTTCGCTTAACAACCAACAAAGTCACACCTAGGTGGTACGTAAACACAAAAAAAATTATAAATTGATATAGAAAATATTGATTAATACTAAATACAATATTTAACCGAACATTATGAATTTCATCTAATAAATGTAAATAGTGCACACGCACATAAGACATGATAAGCCTAAAATTAATTTGTACATTGAAAGGGAGAGAGGGTAAGAAATGTTTTTACGTAACATAAGAAATTTAATTGGTATTGATTTGATGATGACCCATTAATAAGTTTATTCAGAGTTCTTGATCACCATGATAATATAATGCCATTTGTTAATTGGTATTTTCAAACTAAGCTAAACCGGCCGGGTCAGAGATCCCAACGTGTAGGCATAGCCGTCCCTATTTTAGAATTGCTAACCAGATGGAAGGCAACCAATCAACAGTTACCTATTGCTTACGAAAACGAATAGTGGAATAGACTGTCACTGTTAAAACGCGCCAACAGCTGCTGAATGTGCATATCGCGGCTTGACCCTTGGGCCTTCCGATCTGCAGAACGGCACGCTAATCTCAAGGTAACGTTTTAAACTACGTATTGTGAATTCTTCATCATGTGTGCATAAGTTTAAGTTAGTTATCGGTTATCTACTGCTTTTAAAATTTACCTCTATAAGTCAAGATCCTAAACTAACATGTTTGTTAAGTAGGATGTATCTCGGATAAAAAACAAAACAAAATGTTTCACTCCTGAACTTAGCATGAACAGAAGATTTATATGTTCTTTCCATCCGAGAATTAGGGAAAAGGATTAGAGAAAACATCGTTGTTAGAAGTTAAATTACATTAACTGTTATTCTCAGAAGCTTATCAGCCCTATCTCCTCCCCCCCCCTCGCTAATTTTCGCAATTTTCAACGGAAAATGCATCCGTCCGTGTAATGCTAAAGGCCTTTTAGGGGTTTTTAAATGTTGAAAATTGTAACGTCTGATAATCCTTTGAGAATCTCCGGAATTTGCCTTTTAGGGGGGTTGACTAAAAAAAAACTGGAAAAAAAAACAACTGAAAAACCGTACATCTGTTTCGGCATGTGTGTCGCATTTTACATTTTCCCCATTCCATGGTGCAATAAGTAGAGGACAAAAATGAAACTTTTCACAAGAAGTACAGAACAAAGAGACGTCAAGATGAGAATAGCAAGTTTCGAATATTTGTGGCTGTAAATAACTGCCAGTCTTCGTGACGTACACTTAAAAAAACATTGTTGCCATATATACTTTTAAGATACCAGAACTTTTTGAAGTAAATAGGGAAGACTGAAACAAAAAAAAAAAACGCTTTGAAACAATACGCTCATCATCAAGATTCTCGTAAAATGAATAAAGAATACGAATATGTATTCTCTCCGTGTGTGTGTGTGTGTGTGTGTGTGTGTGTGTCTACA